CTGGGCACACTCAGGCTGTCCCTCCACCTTGACTGGGCACACTCAGGCTGTTCCTCTACCTTGTCTGGGCTCCACCTTGTACGTGCACACTCAGGCCGTCCCTCCACCTCGTATGTGCACACTCAGGCTGCTCACACATAGACTGCTGCAAAGAGTAGAACCCCGTGCCTTCACCTTGCTGAGCCCTGAAGCAATGACATCACAGGTGCTTTCAGATGCCCGTCACCTGCCTCCTTCCAAGACCACACCACAAAAATAACAGAAAATGTCTGGTAGATGGATGGACAGTTACTGCAAGAACTTCCTGGTGAATCTGGGGGGCTTTGGCTCCACAGGGAAACTGGAGTCCCAAGGAGCGTACTTGTTCAGGTCCCCCAGACCCCCACCCCCTGCTCTCCCTGGAGTTACCAACTCTATGTATGATGTCTGTAACAAGAAGGGGCCTTCTTATTGGGGTTTCTGTCCTGCCCAGTACCCCACAGCCAGCAAGACCCAAAGAAAATCACACAGAGATCTTCTCCATAAGTTACAAAACTGATTGGCCCATTAGCTCAGTCTTCTTATTAGCTCTTGTAGCTTATATTAGCCCATTATTCTTATCTATGTTAGCCACATGGCTTGGTACCTTTCTCAGCCGGGCAGGTTACACCTTGCTTCTTGTTGGTCTGGGCAGGAATGGGGGGGAATGGGCTTCCTTCTTCCCAGAATACTCCTGTTCTCCTCGCCCCACCTCTACTTCCTGTCTGGTTGACCCACCTATACTTCCTGCCTTGCCAGCCAGCGTTTATTTAAAATATGATTGACGGAATACAGACAATTCTCCTGCACCAGATGTCTTCTTCTGAAATCCAAACTTATAGAGAACAATTATTTCTCAGCCCCCCAAAAATAAAGTGCACTTTCAGAGACTCTCTGATAGCCTTTTCCATCTCTAGTATTTGCCCTAACCATCCAAAGACCACCTCTTTGTATGGCATTGAAAACACACTGGTACCTGGCAATGGGTTCAAATGTGAACAAGTAAGGACTTGGGGGCAAAGGTTGTATCTCTGCCTCTGTGTGTTCAGAGCGCTCATCACTCAGCATCCTTGGTGGCAGCGGACAGCCTAGGAGCTCCCAGGAAGCTTGCGCTGAGCCCTTGCCTGGTGGCAGCTGCCATAACCATGTTCAGGGCTACATTGCTCACGCTCAAGGGATTTAAGGGCTGAGGTGGCCCATGACGGGCTCAGATGAGTGAGAGTGGATCAGATTGGCACCAGAGAATTACAGGTCCTATAACTCAGCATCAAAAAGTTCCTGTTGTTGGCAAGGAGCCCTGGCAGCCTCTAGTACATGTCACTGAGTGAACAGATGGGCCTGGGAGTAGGCAGGTTCCGTCCCTGGGAGAGATCAGAGTTCCCATGTCTCCTTGTATCACATCATCCAGCACAGGGCGCAAAATGCATGCAAGGTAAAGCAGGCCCGCATCATCCTACTGGCCAGGCCTGCCACGTCACAGCCTGCCACGTCGCAGCCCTGTCCTCCCCCAAGGAGCCATGAGACCTGAGAACACTGGCATATGAGTGTCAGGCAACAGATGATCAGAACTTCTTCTTGAAGCTCAGGGTTCTGGGTTTGGAAGGGAAGAAAACTTGTGAAATATCTTCCAGAGAGGTGGGGAGTTGAGAAAGCGGTAGTGATCACATCCAGAGGGGGTCTTGGCCTTAAGCAACAGTTCTGGATTAGTCGGGGCTCTCTAAAGGAACAGAGCTGATAGAAAGAAAAATTTATACATGCACACACACACCCGCGCGAACGCGCGCGCGCACACACACACACACACACACACACACACACACACACACACGCCTCATTAAAGTGGCTTACAGGCTGTGGTCAGTCAGTCCAGCCATGGCAGTCTGGCATGGGAAGGACAGGAATCTGGTAGTCCACAGGCCAGGTGTCTCCGCGGTTCCGTTCCGATACTGACCTCCCCGAGGGTTCCTGGGGAACAGCTGCTCTGCAGTCTGTGCTGGAGCTCGGAAGAAATAGATTCTAACACCAGGAGAGAGGAAGCCGCTAGTGAGAGTGAGGGCAAGCATGCGGAAAGCAGAGGCTTTCTTCTTCTGATGTGGACTGCCATCGGAAGGTGTGACCCAGATTCAGGATGGGTCTTCTCACCTCAAGGGATCTAATCAAGAAAACCCTTCACAGGTGTGCTCAGCTTTAGGGTTTTTGCTGATTCCAGATGTAGTCAACTTGACAACCAAGATTAGCCATCGCAAGCCCCCTGCCCCCAGCCTAAATACATGTCTGTCATTGGGGCTCCCAGGTGGATTGGGTCATGCAGAGGCCAACTTCTGTCCAGCCATCCTGGGTCCTCCCTCTGCTTCCAACCGAGGGTGTGATGGAGTGTCTCTTCCCAGACATGAGGGTGCAGTGGGAGCTATTTGGAGGCCCCGTAGAGCTCCTTTTAGGGAGGGCGACTCCTACTGGCAGGGGAGCAGTTGACAACTGCTTCGGACTAAAGAACGAAGCCATTGTGTTCCTACTGCAAATGCTGTAACCATAAAAGAATGTCCTGAGCGGGACCCCTGGGTCCCCCAAGTCAACTCTCCATCCTACAGAGGCTGAATGTCCACTTCAGAATATTTGGGGCCAGACTCTGCAGCCTCCCCTCCCTTCCAGCCATGACTTGGAAAGAATTTGGAAAGAAGCCCACGCAAAGGGGAAGCCGAGACACTGTGGGCCAGAGGGAGAGTTCAGAGCAGCTGTGTAGCTACTGATTAATAGCTCTGGGCCATGGCAGCTTTAAGGGGGAATGAGGACCTCTCGCTTAAATGGAACTAGGAGGAGGTATGAGAAGAACATGTGGCCGTGTGGGTCCCCTGTGAGCCTCTGTGCTGTGTCTGCACACCTTTGAAGTCAGAAAAGCTGATTGATCTCATCTGGAATGAAGGGCAGAGACCCAGCCCAAGCCCATGATCCCTTGCTCCTGGACCACAGGCTCTCTGTAAGCAGCCTTGGCCAGGCCGCCAGGCAGATGAAATATTAAATAGCCTCAGAGTCTGGGAAGTTTCACTCTAAATGGGTTGTGTCGGGCTGAACCAACTGAACTAAAGAACAGCGTCTCAGAAGGCTATGGGCCCTGACCAATTGTAATGTTTGCAAGCAAAATGGCTTCCAGATGCCCAGGATGCAGGAAGTAACCTCCACCATTAAGGGACAGTGTGACATTACAATGGCTGCAGCCCAGCCTTCAGCAGTCTCGCTTGGTACATGAAAATGGCCTCCTAGATGCCAATCCCTGCTCCTAATTCTCGAGAGAGGACGCTGGTGCCAAGAGTTCTTTGGGGCTGAATGGTTTGATAAGCACCTGTCAGTTAGAAGGACAGTGAATGACCAGAGTGAACTAAGACGCATCCACAGATGTCAAATGGCTCAGCATCATGGCTTCATTCACGACAAAATTCTTCACACGGCCCATAAGGTCATAGAAGCAGCAAGGCTTCTTCCTATGTGATCCTGGCAAAAGGAAATGATGAGGTTTGCACGCCTTATGTTTGAACACTTGATCACCAGCTGGTGGCACTGCTTAGGGAGGTTGTAGAACTTTCAGGAAGTGAGGCCTGGTTGAACGACAGGATTTGAAGACAGGCCCAGCCCTGCTTCTAGCCCTTCTCTTGTTTCTTGGCCCATCAAGAAGTGAGCAAGCAGTCACATGTTCCCACTACCCCAGTCGCCAGCTGCTCCCACCGACTTGCCTTCCCCACCACAGTGAACTAGAGCCCTTTAGACTATGAGCCAGAAGAGACCTCTGCTCCCTGAAATTGTTTTCCACCAGCTAACAGAAACAACCATGAGAAAAGTAACCAATTGCATGCCCTAAATCAAAGCGACTGGTGACATTCGCTGTCATGTAGCCCTGCATGCCTAGAATCTGCTCCAGGCAAGCCCTGGGCCTGACCCTGAGAAGACAGTGGTGGCAGAGCAGGCCTGTCCCCGTCCCCATATCTATGGATTACCTACTGAGGAAAATGGTTCGGGCCCCACAGTGGGGGAGCCCGCCCAGGATGGACATCTGCCATGTGGACAGGGCATGGTGCCAGTTCACAGTACAGAGACACCATGACTCAAAAGCTGAGCCCTGCAGGTCCTCGGCATGCGGCAGAGCTAGCTTCTGAAGCCACATCATTAATTTCAGGTAATAACCCAGTATTAATAGCTGACGCTAAGTTCGTCTAGGTGAATTCATTAATCCTTACAGCAGTCTACGAGGGAGGAGCTATTCCTCTTCACAGATGAATCCCAGAGGCCCCATGTATTTGATAACTTGCCCATTTTCCAGACCTAGGAAGCTATAGGATGGGACTTGAATCCCAAAGACTGGCTTCAAGGCCCAAGCTCTTGCCTGCACTGCTCTGACTCTCTAACAGTTTTGGTCGCCAGCATGTGTTTCACGGGTGCCCTTTGGGTACCTCAGATTTGGCAGCTCTTGTCTTTCCAAGGCCCTGTGGCTCGTCGTGGGGAATCTATCTAGCCAAAAGATAGACTGTTGATCCCAACTCTATCCTGCCCCACTCCCGGCATCCTGTTCCATAGGGACCAGTCCAACCCAGCTCCTGCTTCAGGAGTCTGTGAAAGGCTAGATCAGGCTTTGGGGCTGAATTTATAGTGGGCCAAAACCAATTTGGCAAGCTCTCTCTGGATCCCCATGTGTCCATCCTCAGATATCTGTGGACCATGAGTAGACAGATACACTGGGGACCAGTCGGGCACACAGAATTCACACATAGGAAGCAAAGTGCAAGAGTCTTTGGCTGGTGACTGAGCCAAGACTTCTGTTACTAGTTAGAACGTTTATTGCATTCACCAACAAAATATATTGCCTAACTAACAGCGTGTAGCCCAAGTTAGAGATGGGGAAACAGAGGCACCGAGATGTTAAAGAACTTGTCTGTGGTCACCCAGCTGGAACCCAAAAGACCAAGGACCCATCAGGGATCGTGGTAACTCCAGAGCCCCCATCCACATCTCTTAAGAGACCTCATGCCACCCACAAGTCCACACATTGGCTCAAGGACCAGTATGAGTGCTCTTTCTGCTCCCAGCATCCTGGGACTTGCATGTGCCATTTTTTTTTGCCTGATTTAGCCCATCTTTTCATTCATTAATCAAAGGACTGAGTCTTCCCATCAATGATGTTGTAAAACTCAATTAATACCCTTTAGCAAAATGCTCTGAGATACCACATGTAGGATACGACACAGTAGCACAACGTTATTTTTTGGTGATACTGTTTGACATGAAATATCATCCCACTGATGCCTATAGAGAACCTTTATTTCAAAGGGCTTTGATGGACTATGCCCATCAGAAGGTGTAGGTGCTGGGCTAGAGAGATGGCTCAGCAGCTAAGAGTGCTTCTTGCATGTCCAGAGAACCTGAGTTCAGTTCAGCATATGTGTCAGGCAACTCACAACCACTTTTAACTCCAGCTCAGGGTATCTAACATCTGTTTCTGGCCTCTGCAGGCAGGTGAGCATGTGAGGGCATGCACACACACACACACACACACACACACACACACACACACACACACACTTTAAAATATATATACATATAGTACAGTCAGAGGTATCCAACGTGTCCCCTGTAGTAGCTTTCCTGATTTCCTCATCACCCCCTGAGCCCCTGGATTCAGCACCAGGTCACCCACACAAAGGCTCCCTGGCAGGGCATGTGCAGGCCATGGAGGCTGTGCAGGCCAGGGACCAAAGCTCACATTGGGGGAACTTCCACTGCAGTGAGGCCCCTGCATAAGTTCCAGCAAGCCACGCGGGGGGTGCTTTGAGCAGCACAGAGGGCGGGCAGGAGAGGGTGGGTGGTAGGCAGCAAAGTTCCAGCGCTTACAAAGATCAGAGATGTTTCCTCCAGAAAAAGAACAGCCAAGCCTTGTGCTAACACTGGGAAAGATGAAACCCAGCCATCTGGTTCAGACTAGGTCTGCTCTCCGGAAAGAAGGCTGAGATTCTCAGAAGCCAGTCTGAGGATCGTTTTGTCACTAGATGAAAAGATCTTCAGAGGGTATAGTGTGATACTTCTGGAGAGACACGGACAAAAGGTCTATTCACCCCAGATAAGGAAGACATTGGCATTTTGATACCAGGCCATCGATTTGGTGAGGGTAGATAGAGAACAGTCAAGACGGGGCTCTGGAAAGAAGTCAGGGAGCTGGGGTGCACCAGCTGCAGAAGACAATGCAGGGAGATGCTGGCACTGAGGGAGGAGAAAGCAGTCAGCTGGGCTGGCGGGAGGTCTGGACAGAGCACAGAAGAGAGCAGGCCTTCGGCGGTTTGGGTCTGTACAGGGAGTTTCCTCTGTGGAGTGGCATGAGGAGGGGAGACAAAAGTCTCAAACGAGTCTAGGGCAGAATTGGAAGGGATCAGTGCCAGAGAGGCCTTTCGGGGGCTTTGCTGGGATGAAGCGGGGGAGTTTCTGACAACTGATAGGGTGGGGTTGGCACAGGGGGGCAGTCAGGCCTCAAGATGGTGGAGTGACCAGTCCAGTCCATGGCAGTCCCCCAGGCCACTGCCTGGCCTCAGAGAGGGGACTAGAAAGGACCTATTTTAATTTTCTTCTTGGGCCTCCACATGACAAAGGAGAAATATCACCCAACATTATTATCTCTCAGAAAATACTCTCTGGAACCATAAAAAGGGAAATACAGCAGAGGCAGCCCACGAAGGCGGCCCCTAAATCAGCAGCTTCTAAATTACCACGGTGGTACTCTCTAATTCCTGTGGATGAAAACATTAAAGATGACAATGTCCCTTTAAATCAAACTCCCTGGGACTCGGTGGAAAGAGTCACTGGGCTTTCCCTTCTCCCCCCTCCCCCAGATTTTTTTGTCTCTTTTCACCTTGTAATAAGATATAAATCATAACTTGTGGGGGCAAGCTCTAGTAAGCAAGCTGTGAACATGGATTTTTCTAAAAATGAAGGTGTTTTGTTAATGGGAAGTGTCTCAGCCCTGGGAACGGGAGAGTCTCGAGTGGAGTCCGCTATTTAACTTCACACTTCTAAAGTGTATTTTCTTCTCGGGCGGGTCTCGGGCTAGCTGTGGCATCACCACGATGAATCAAATGATCTGGTGGCACCGTAGGAGGCCAGAGGCTCCCCGGCTCTCCCATAGGGGACTGCTGGACTCAGGCTACACAGAAGCAAAGACAGAACCCCCAGGGCCTTGCCCCGGGATGCACGGAGGCACCTCTCAGAAAAGGACACAGAAGCAGGACGGAGCCCTGGGACTTGGGTACTGCCCACGCCTGCCAAGCCTAGACAACTAAATTCAAAAGCCCCACATGGGATCCAGAGCCTGGTACATCCTAGGACAGGAGGGAGATAGGAGTCACAGGTCAGAGCTTCCAGAATTTCCAAGTCCCAGATATACAGAGCCGCTGCTGTTTCTGGGGTAGGAAGCAGGTAAGAAGGGAAGAAACTCGGGTTTAGCCCAAGCAATGGCAGAGGCAGCATGGCCCCAAGACTCTTACCTAGATCAACTCCTTTCTGCTCTATACTTGTCCATACTCTAGGCCCAGCTCCTTAGGCCTGAATGGAGAGCCAAGGCCAGTCAAGCCATGACTTTGGAGTTGTACTGCATCACCACGACGACCTACATGGTCAACTCAGTAGGATCTAGAATCACTGGGAGATGTTCCCCTGGGCACATCTGTGAGGGAGTTTCTACTCTGGTTGACTGAGGCAGGAATGCCCACCCTAATTGTGGGCAGCACCATTGCATGCCCTGGGGTCACAAGCTGCTTTTATAGGAAGGGGAACACAAGCTGAACACTGGCTTTTACTTCTCTCCACTTTGCACATGCAATGTGACCGGCCATCTCAGTCCTGGCACCATGCCTTCCGGCCATGATACCCTCAAGCTGGAACGGACCTTCCTTAAGTCCCCTTTGCCAGGTATCTTATAGCAGCAATATAGACAGTGTACCATGAGGCCACTAGGGTAGGAAGTCTTGGTGGTTTTATGGGACAGCTCTAACCCTGAAATGGAAGGATTTGCTGGTTAAATCCCACACGCTCCACTGCCTATGACCCTTTCTCTTCCAGAATAACCAAACACCTTAAAAGGTTCTCTCTGCCCATGGCTTTAACTTAACCCTTAAGTTCGTGCCCTGTTCCCTGCCTTGCCCACCTCTCACTACATATCTGTGCAGATAATGATTGTGAGGCCCGCAAGTTCACTCATGGCCCACAGGACATGCACTGCCAAAGGACACCCTAGTCCCTCATACACTGTGACCTCACTGACTTCTCTCCTCCAAATACTCGCCCCCCCACACACACACATGCACACACTGGCCATCTCTTCTCTGGCATTGCCACTGCCTTCATCATCATCATCATCTTCTTCTCCTCCTCCTCCACCTTCTCCTCCTCCTCCACCTTCTCCTCCTTCTTCTTCTCATTCTTCTTCTTCTCCTCCTCCTCCTCCTTCTTCTTCAATCTTTTTTCCCATTTTCATGTCTATGTGTGTTGTGCATGTATGTGGGCATGTGTGTGGATGTACGTGTGCATATTGTGTGTATGAGTGTGGAAGCTGAAGGTTGCTATCAGGAATTATTGCTCTTCCACCATATTCACTGAGGCAGGGTCTGTCAGTCAAGCCCAGAGCTCACCCATATGGCTAGTGTCTCTACCCAGCTTGCTCGGGATCCCCTGTCTCTGCTGTCCGGGGCTGGAATCACAGGTGTACTGCCAGGCACACCTGACCTTACCTGGGATCTGGGGATCCCAGCTCCAGTCCTCTCACTTCAGCTGCTGAGCCATCTCTCCAGCCCTCTCGCTTCTTTCTGTGATGTCTTCCCACTATATGTCCCTGCCTCTTTCTCTGTAGGTGACAAGGAAACAAATTCTTTAGACCTTGCAAGATACAGTCTCCATCACATCTGTTAAATATATAATGAGGAACACTATAGATGATACAGAAGCCAATAAGAGTGACTACATCCAATGGAACCTGACTTATGGACCATGAGGGACCTCTCTCCTCCAGCCATGCCTCATTCCCTCAGCAGGGTCTTCCCAGTCAAGCCTCAGATCTCAAGTTTCTAAAACAAACCCTTGGCTGTTACTTAGGGACACACATTCATATGACTAAACTCGCGATCCTCATTTCCTGAATCTGCCTCATTAATGTATGGTTCTTCTGGACTTCATTTGTAACAAAAGTGTATCCAAGTGCAATGTTGAGGTCGTGGAGTCATAGGATTCCCGGGGAGAGGGAGAACTGTGGGTTCTGAACTTTAGGCCACCAGGTGAGGAGGTATGACTGGACGGGACACTCACTGTGGTAGGCCTGTTGGGCCCACTCGGCTTCCTGCCAATGGTTGACTGGCACCCAGCCTAGCCCTTGGCATGCCCCATGGAAACAAGTCTTAGAGATGCGTGAGGCTAAGTGGAATCCCCAAGCACAAGCAGGAGAACACAAGTGAAGGGCAGATAGCTTGCGGCTAGACACACCTGTCATCGGCCTGCCCGTCTCCAGGTGCTCCCATGAGCACTGAGCTGAAAGAAAAGCCAGTTCTTAGAGCCATCTGTGAAGAGTCCAAGACTGCCATATCTGAGGCCTGCCCTTCCTCCAGCTCTTGAGGTATTTGCCTTGTCTTATGCCAGAGGGTACTCACAGCAGAGACCTAGACATGGTAGTAAGATCCATGACCTTCAGATGCCCATCACAGGATCCACACACCCTGGAGGAGGTAGCATGTAGAGTTGCCCATGTAAAGTACATACTCCACCCCAGAGCCAGGAAATATGGTTTCTGGGTCAAGAGAAAGGGCAAGCTGGAGGTTGGCCCTGCTCCCATGCACAGGAACTAGGCCCTCTGTGACCTTGAGGTCTCAAGTCCTCCAGCTCCATGTCTCTAGGTTCTGGGATGCTGTGGTAAGGGGTTAAGCTGAGGTCACAATGCTGATGGATGACACTCTAAACACCTAGCTGCTAGAAGTGGCAAACAGCCCCCCCTCGCCGCTTCCAGACCAATGCGAGCAGAAACAAAATTGCGTATTATTTATTCTTTTTTTCTTCCTGATCCAGGCTGTGGTCCTTGATAGTTAATCATCAACTTGCCTTTGTGAGGAAGCATGCACATGCACACACACACACACACACACACACACACACACACAGGGAGGGGGGAGGGGGGAGAGAGAGAGACAGAGACAGAGAGAGAAGAGAAGAGAGAGCGCGCGCACCAGGAGAAAGAGGATGGCAGGGTCCCTCCAGGTGGCATGCCTGCATGGCTGCTGACCAGATTGACTGCCCAAGGCTTGTTCAAAGCCTCATTTTTCATCTCGGCCTCTCTCGGGCCAGAGGGCCAGCAACAGCACGCCTTGCACACTTGGGCATCTCGCCTGGCATACTCAGGAAAGCACTGAAATTTATTTCGTCCATTTGAATACAAATGCAATTGAGGCAAAATTCTTTTTTTTGTTTCAGAAGCCATTGCTCCAGTTCTGCTTCTCATCAAGTGAATTGACAGCCAAAGAGACGAAATAAATAACTATGCGTCTGGCTGTGCCAGGTGGAATAAAACCCCTCACTCATTACTGGATGTGGGCATGGTAGTGTCAAGCTGTGTTAGCAGCCCGGGGTGGCGCTTCTCCCTAGGCAGTGTATTACTTACTTATGCATCTCTGTGATCAAAATACCTCACAGAATAACCTAAAAGACAGAGGATTGACTTCAGCTCATGCTTTTGTGGGTTCTCAGTCTGTCGTGGTGGGAAAGGCTTGGAGGAGTTAGTGGGAATGAGAACATGTAGGTAGGATTGGGTAGGAACAAAGAGCATATGGGACCGGCATGACTTTCAAAGGCCGACCTCCAAGAACCTACTTCCAACAATCATGACCCCACTGTCTGCAGGCTCCACAGCCTCCCAAAACACGCCATCAGCCAAGGTAGGAACACTCAAAGCAGGAGCCCAAGGGCAGGGGAGTTATTTCATATTCAGATCACAACAGGAAGGTCTGGAGACAGAATGTGAGGTCTTTGGGGAGTCTGGCGTCAGAGGAGCTGGAAGGCAGGCACCCACAGCAGTAGGTTGCCTCAGCGCCTTCTGTCTCTTTCCTCAGCCTCTAAGCAGAGGGAAGGAGAACATCCGGTAAGTCTTTCAGGATGTGTGCTGCAGAAGGAGCCAGAGAGGCTAGAGGGCTTCCTAGAGGAAAGTAGTCTATGCTGGGCCTTGAAGACGAAGGTGGGATGGCTTTGCACAAAGGAAATGTCTTTGCTTGAGAGGGAGCTAGAGAAAGATCAAGCTTGAGAAGTCAAGAGTGGACACTCCACTTGCAGGTCAGTGTGGGGCATGGAGCTGAGCCTCCAAGGCCAGGCTCTACTGTGCCCAGTGTGCCCTGAGCTGCCAATCCTTGGGCAGGTCCCAAAGGTAGCTAAGAGGTCATTGCCAACGAACCGACCTTGCTTCTGAGAAGTACTCCACCAAAGAGGGGCATATGATACATGGTGCCCTGTCCCTGACAGAGCCTTTTGCAAATACAGGTTTGCTTCACTCCAGGTTTTGGGGAGAGGAGTGTCGCCAGGGGTCAGTATCTGGAGCAGGTGTTTCCAAGCTCTCGGAATCTCACTCAAGGAACTGAAATAAAGGTGTATATCAATTACCTCAGACAGATGGACAGAGCCAGGCCATGGGTACCAGGACCTGTCCCAATGGAAGGCTTTATCTCCTAAGCGTCTTGCTGCGGGGCTACCCTCCTGAGAGTGTGACAGGTCTCAAGCCATTCATGTCTGGTCAGGTCCCGCTTGCTTTTATGGATACTAAATGTGACATTTTATAGAGGACCAACCACTGCCTCTGTCAGACAGCTCAATACGGGACACAGGCAGGAACCAGGTCTAGGCAGAGCAGGCAGACCCAGACAGGCCCAGCAAGCAGCTGCTGCTGTGTCCCCAACCCCCTGACTGTGCTGCATAGGATTCTTGAGCAGTCATGGAGTCCCAGAAACAGAGGGACAGCTTCTCCACCACAGAGGCCCCAAAACCTGGACCCAAGATGCTCGCCTTGGGCTCTCACACTCACAAGGCTCCAACTGAGTGAAGTCACATCACTGACTCTCAAGCTACCCAGTCAGCAAGAGCCAAGGCTGGGCCACTAAAATTAAGTCGGTCATCTCTTTAAAGGGGAATAACTTCTTCACTGAGCCATTACTCGGTACTGTGCTAAGAACGTTATACTGTATGTTGTTGAGTTCTTGAACAGGGTGCTGTTACTAGTCCATTCTACAGATGACTGAGGTCAGACAATAGCAGTGCTGTGATTAAAGCCAGAACTCCAAAGTGTGCATCCTGCCCCCATACTACTCAGCTTTCCATAGGAGATTGATGGACAGGGAGTATGAAGTAGTAGTCCTGCAAGGCTCCCTGGAGGAGGTGTTATTTGATATCAGAACAGCTCCTAGAAGGAGGTGATGCTTGGAGTGGCTGCAGGGAGAAACTGTTCTACGAAGACACCAAGGTGCAGAATACACTCAGGAAACAGGGTAATGCTAGAGCATCAGGCAGAAAGGGGTGACTATAGTGAGGTCAGCCAAAACAAGAAGGCTCAAATGTTAGATGGGGCTGGGGGGGGGGGGCAGCCAATCAGTCTGTCACCTCCCTCCTGGCTCAGCACTCAGGTAGCATCCCAGGCCTCTGTGAGTGCAGCAGGTCTCCCAGACTACACACACACACACACACACACACACACACACACACACACAGCAGGGCTGGTGTCTATCAGACAGTCCTCATAAAGCTCTGGCTGGACGGCAAGCTCTCTCTTCCTACAAACGTCCCGGTGCCTAGCCCTGGGAAATACAGGATGCAAGCCAGGGCAAGCGGCCTAGCAAGGCAGGGCTGCCCACCGCCAGGGGACTGCTTCTAAGCGAAAGAGATGGAAAGATAGTTAAAATCAATACTCTCAAATTAGCTTTTCCTTTTGTGAGATTGAACATGCTCCATTCAAGCCCCAAATATGAAAGAATGTCCAGAGCGGCACCAAGGCGTCAGTGTGTCTTGTGAATTACAGGCGCTCAGAGACACTGTGAACAAAAACAAAAATTGCAGAAATTGTCTCCAAACAATAGCCAGTAAGGCTGCTTGCATATTGTGGTCCTTCTACTCCACAGTGAGCTGGCTCAGCCATGCCTGCTGCCTGCGTCCCCATGGGCCACTCCCTCCTTGTTTGCTTCATTCAGAGGGTCCCTGTAAGGTGATATATAGCTGGGGGGTGGGGTATGTGGATCTCCACCCATCCACAGGCTCCAGAGCAGCCACTTGGCCCATAGGTAATTTTCTTAAAGTTTTTTGAACCACAGCCTGAAGGGGAGAGGTTTTTATCAAGACCAAGGGGCAGAATCTAACTGGGTGGGCAGCATCTAAAATGCACCCCATAGAAATAAGATTTCTTCAGAACAAGAACCAGACCTCAAGACAGGTAATTTTATTTACTTGAACTCAGACACCAGGGATTCATATTCATATTCTCTCTCTCTCTCTCTCTCTCTCTCTCTCTCTCTCTCTCTCTCTCTCTCTCTCTCTCTCTGACAATCTTACAAACCAGCATGTATTCATCCCACTCTGGCACAAAGTCAAATACCTTACACATAACCGTCTCAGGAAAGGTCGGAGACAGAGCTCATGATGATTCCCAGAAGAGGAAACTAAGGTACTGAGAGGTTAAAGAATTTGCTCTAGGTTCACAGTCAATAAATAGCACAGCTGAAATTAGAATTCAGGCTCCTAAGCACTGCACAACATCCCAGCTGACATGCCATGGTCCTGCCCCATACTGAGACAGGAAAAATCATATCCTATCATCCTCAGGTGCTCATAGTAGGGCCAGATACCAAACAGAGTTCTTGGTGCCCTACGTGATGAACTGACCCAGTTCCCATCCAGAACTCTATGCTTGCAGCTCCTGGTCAACCCTGAGAGCTGTGAGAGACCAGCTGGCAGGGTCACAACACAGTTTGCTCCTAAACATGCCAAACCTGGGAACCATCCTAGAGTCTGGGGAGGGCTCCAACCAGCCTCTGCTTCTGCAGCCATGAGGCCCATCAGCCACAGGCTGTGCCAGGAGATATAAGCCAGATGCATGGGAACATCTGCACCAGCTGGAACTACGAGAGGGCTATTAGACCTCACAGTCTGGGTGAACTTCGGTTGCCAAGCTCTCTTGCCAAGGAGCTTATTGGGGCTAACTCCAAGTCCAGAGGAGAGTTGTACATGAACTGGATGCAGAGGCTCGCCAGGAGACAGGACCTGCATGAAGCCCCAGGGGATTCTGGGAAATGATACCACCAAAGCTTTGGAAAGGAAGGTGTGAGGTTTAGATCTACCTGGCAAAGGTAAGGGTTGTGTTTCAGAGAAAGATTAAACAGAACCTTGAGAGCTGGCAGCAACCTTTGGGGAGAGCACTGGGGTACTAGCAGGTAGCCCCTGGCTCAGATACTTTCTAGATTAACTAAGTCCCCTCCATTCTGCCAAGACACTTCAAAACTGAAGTCTTCATTGCAGAGCTTTAGCGACTCAGACTCCATTTTGCCTTTGCTTTCCTCTTTGCAGTGCTTTATGATCAGAGGATGAGGGAATTCTATGCAGCTCTCTCTGACCAGGACATTAGGTATGGGCAGCTCCAGGGTGCCCACGCTGACCCCGGGGGCTGTGCTCAGACCGCTCTCAGGACTGCCCAAGACAGCTTCCAAAGCATCACTCGATGCTCACCTGCTCTCGCGCCTCTGATGGCTCCCTATCTCACCTCACCAAATCTGAGATCTTGTGCCTCTTCATCCTGTCTCACGCTCTGGCCATCCTTTGCTACCCAAGGTCTCTTCCTATAGATCTGCT